TACCAAAAAAAAAAAAAAAATGCCCGTGTCCCTCTGCTAAGCTCTGGGGAACGCAACGGTGAGAACTCAGCAGGGCCCCTCCTTCATATGTGGCGCACAGTCTAGTGAAGGAGACGGACAGCGTTAAAAGACCTTCCTAAGAAAAGGAGAAAAGGACCAGAGACAAGAGCAAGCCAGGAGAGTCCAGGGTGGTGGGAGCCCGGGTGTCCAGCAGGGATCATTGGGCACAAGGTGTTCGGTGTGCTCTCAGGTGACAGTCACTGAGGCACAGCCACCAAAGGAAAGGGAGCAGTCCCAGGAGGCAGACCCTAGAGGTATGGGACACGGACACCACGCAGACCACCGAGGAACACCAGGGTGGTCAGGAGGCTGATGGGGCAAGAGCCGTGGGATGCGGATTTGTGGGGAGAGGCTGGGCAGGGCTGGGGACGGTTCAGGACTGGTAGTCTGAATACTTCCAGCAGGTTCTACGGCAGTACAGTGGTCCCCAGGTGCCTGCACCTGGCTCTGCGCAGACTCAGGCAGGGGACTCTTGCATCCTGGGGTGGACAGGCCAAGGGGAAGAGGTCTGGCTATACACGGGTAGTGTGTGTGTGTATTTCACAGGCACGCTCAGTGCAGCTCTTGCTATTTCTAAGACTGGCCTAGCTCTATCTTTCCCCAGCCACAATGTTCTTTAAGATGTCAGAATCCCGTACTACTCAGGCATTAAACATCCACATACTGTACCCCCGGGAAGGAGTGGCAGTAGACGGTGAACCCCCTGAAGGGCACTCACTGTGCTGGGACCAGAAGGAGGGGAAGCAAAAGCCCACGTGGAAACAAGCAGGGCAGGACCATCAGGGCTTCTCCAAACTGTGTGGAAGGCTGATTCCCTCTGTGACGGTGTTACCAGGTGGAACTCTGATAGGAGGGAGGCTGCAGGCCAGAGCTTTTTAAAATATCACCATCAGAGGAGGGCGCATTTTCAAAGGGCGAGCCTGGCCCCTTCTTCAGTTAGTCTCTCCTTTTCTCCCTCTCCCTTCTCACCTCTACCACGTGATGATCGCACAACAAGAAGGCACACGCCAGGTGCCAGTGACCTGATGTTGGCCTTTCCACCTCCACGACGATGATCCAGTACCATTCTGCTCACTGTAAATGACCCAGTGTCGGGCATCCTCTTACAGCTGTGCCAAAGGGACTAAGAAAATGAACACAGCTGCACAGCAAGCTGTCAGTCAGAAAGGGGCCAGACCCTGCCTGGCCATGTTAAAAGGCGTTGTTCTAGGCAGAGGATTTAGCTCAGTTGTGCTGCCACCTGCAAGGTCCTGAGTTTGATTCCCAGTACAAAAAAAAAAAAAAAAAAAGGTGCATTCAAGAAGACCTAGGAGGAACAAAACCAATGGAATGTACTGGTGGACTGGGTATGATGGCGGAAGCGGGGACCGTGCTCAGAACGGCAAGGGATTTCTGCCACAGCATCGAGACAGAAGCGGTGCTATTCCCAGAGATGAACCCTGGAGGAGGCCCAAGGCTAGAAGGTCCTGTCCAGGCTGCTTTTCAGGGTGCCTCATGCAGGAAGGGACAGCATGGACACAGTGGGGTACGTTTTGTGAGGAGCTCAGAGGAGAAGCCGGGTGGGAGAGCTTATGTTTAGAATTTGCCACCAGCTCAACTCCATGGAAGGTGAAACGGCCACGGCCCACTTGGCGTGCGGAGGACATTCACGAGCAGCGGCCAAGGGCTTCACCGGTCCTGCCACAGAATTCCTCAGATGGGGCTCACACAACATACAGTCACGGTGCCCGGTTCTAGAGGCCCTCATGTCCAAGAGGAAGGTGCTGGCAAATTGGAATTCCAGAGAGAGCTGCTCCCCGGTCCACAGGCAATGCCTTCTGACCAGGTCCTCACAGGGCACCAGGGGTAAATGCGCTCCTTCTGGCCTCCCTAACGGCACCAAGCCCACACACCGGGGCTCCATCCTCAGGACCTAATCACCACCCAAAGCTCCTGTCTCCTACTCCTGTTATCCTGGGGGTTAGGATTTCAACATGTGAATCCGGCAAAGGCGAGAATCTTCAGACCACACTCCGCCACAGAACCGCCACAAAGAAAGAAACTGAGGACAGAACCATGTCATGGAAGCCATGGCAAGAAAGAAAAGAAAAAATAGGGAAGCGGCACATCTCCCACAGTGGTGGGTCTGGGTATCCAGTGGTGGGGAAGTGGGCACACGGCTTTACTGAGAAGCCTCTCCCTGAAGTAAGAGGCAACAGAGCAGAGGTAGAGGGGCTGGGAAGTCAGTAAGAGTTTTGTCCATTTGCTTGTTTTCAGTCAGATTGACCGGCGTGCATAGAAAGAAGGGAGGGGTTTAGCATATGAGCAAGTTGGGACAAGTGCGACCTGCAGTGATGTAAATGGACAAAGCCCCAGCCTCGGTGCACAAAGAACAGCTCTACTATTGTGACTGGGATCGATGGGCTGATGGGAGATGCGTCCTCTGTGAGGGCCTCTGCTTCCCGCAGAAAGTCAGGCCTGGAGAGTGACGTGGAGAAGGTTTGTGTGGGAGACGATCTGAGCTGAGACTTCTGGGGGATTCTTGGGCTGCTAAGAGCCCTCCGAAGCCTGCACCCTCTGCTCTTTTCCCTCCACAGCAGGCTCTGGGGACTACCCCTGTGATATCTCGCTGCTGCCAGAAATCTGCCTAAACTTCTCCAGGACAGATCCATGGCACACTGGCAAGGCATTCGCCAATTTTATGGATTGTTTTTAAACATTCCTACTCTGTTTTTGGCATTTCTGTGGAAAGCATCGAATACAAGCACCAGCCTGAGCCAAGTGAGCATGTGGCTTTACAGCACGCAGGTCTGGGAACATAAGATTGGCCTGAGCTCGCCAGCAGCAGATGACGCTCTGAGGCGCCCATCACCCCACGGCTGGAGCAGCCTGCGGGGCGAGGACCCAGGGCCTGGGTGGACCTCACTGTGACCCACCAGACTGGCACCTGAAGA